GGTGAGCAACATAACAGAAATAACATTGCAAATACTTCTAGAAAACTAAGTATTTCAAATATACTCCTTGTTCAATTGATGTTTTGACTGAATTACAGAGAGAGAATATACAGGTATATTGTAAAAAAGAGGCATCATAAGAACATTAGAGTGTGCATCATCAATTTGACTAACAAGAGAAAATAAACAGATGTTGGACTATTGAGACAATGATAACGATATAGACCGGTATGACAAATGATAACAAAGAACAATAGGCAGTGTGTTACCTTATATATAGTATGTTCCGTTCTGCTCTGTTCATTTCATTCTTCATTCAATCAGTTGCACAACTCAACATGCCACGAATATACAAGCGCAAAACTGAAGATAAGTATACTCCAGAAGATTTAGACAAAGCTGTGTTAGAGGTTAGAGAGAAAAAATTATCAGTGAAAGATGCTGCTGCACACTATCACATACCTATTCGGACAATCTTTCACAAACTTTCAGGAAATAGAAGCGGTGTTGGCCGCGGCACTAAAACTCTACTCACTAAGGAAGAAGAATCATATTTAGTTCACACAATTCTTTTCTTTCAGAAATGGCAGCGACCTTTATCACCATCAATCATTATTGGCTTAGCTAAATCTTATATGATTCAATTAAATAAAAATATATCAAAGAATTTTACACTTCGTGACTGGTTTTATGGCTTTATGCAACGGTGGTCCAACGAAATCAAATTAGCTAAAACCGTGAAACTTGAAAAATCTCGTTCCGTCGCTTGTCGTAAAGAAATTATTGGTTAGTGTTGTGCTTCTCGATATGCTACTGAATACTTTTCGAAGTAATTCTTTTTAGATGCGTGGTTTAAACATTTACGTGAGGTACTTGAAAAGTTCCAGTTACTTGATCGACCAGAAGCACTGTGGAATGCTGATGAAAGCGGCTTTTTTGAAGATCCAGGCAGACGATCGGTGGTGGTGAAACGGGGTACTAAACACGCAATATCATCTCAATCTGGAACAGGAAAATCGATGACAACAGTACTTATGTGTGTGTCTGCGAATGGAGAGTAAGTTCTGTACCTTCAGTTTATTTTTTTATAAAAAAACTTGTCTTTCTAACATAGAAAACTGCCACCATATATAGTCTATCGCGGCATCAAGTTATGGTCGTCATGGATTACTAAAAATGGATTTTCCGGAACACGTTATAATGTTACTCAATCCGGATGGGTCGAAGAAGAAACATTGTATGATTGGTTCGTTAATCAATTTTGTCCTGCAGTGGAACATATTAAACGACCTGTCATGTTATTTTTTGATGGTCATCATGCTCATATTAGTGCGCGAATAGTGAAACATGCAATGGTTAATAAAATCGAATTAGAATGCTTGCCTCCACACACGACGACTCTATTACAACCACTGGACGTTGTTACATTAAACAAAGTAAAAACGGCATGGCGAAACATCCTTGTGGATCACAATATGAAAACTAATAGCGCACCCATAGGAAAACAAGAATTTTCTCTAATGGTAAGTTAGTCTACGATTTGAAAAGATCGTTTGCTTATATTGTGTAATCTTTAATTTAATGTATCTTACAGATTTCTGACCTTTGGCAAAATCATATACTAAAAGGTCATTGTAGCAATGGTTTCACAAGATCAGGTATTTACCCATATGATCCTCGTGCAGTATCAAAGGAAAAATTACTTGGATCATCTTTATGGAACAATGAAAATGATGTTATTGATGAATCACTAGCTGCAGATGACTCTTGCATCGAAGAGAATTCATTCTCATCTAATGATTTACTAAGTAGAAGTAAGTTCTATAGAATATTTCTTCCTAATATTTCTTTTTTTGAATAATTTGGACTAGACGTGGCTCTTACTACAACTTATACGCAAACAGATCTTGATCAAAATATTACAGTCGTAAGTCCTCTTCAAATGAACACGACAAGTAAGTTCGTCTAATCCATGATCTCTTTATTGGTTTTTTTTACTACTCAAATATATTGTGATGAACATTTAGATCAATGCTTAATTGTAGATGGTACAATAACAAGTTCCAATGATGTTACACTTGCTGATTGTACAGGTAAGGAGTTTGTCTTTATTGATGTCTTGGAAAATGTTTGAATTCAATAGATTCCGAATCCAGTCCTCGGATATTTACTGATTTAACAGATCAACGAATTACATCGATTAACACTTCTTTTTCCACTTCACAAACACCTGCTGACGTACTGGCAAATGTTATTAATCAATACATGACATCAGCTACACAAATGCCATCAAGCAATCAACGAAGACAAATGATCGATCGAAATAAAGGACAAAATCTAACTTCTGTGGAAGTTCTTAAACAACTGGAAGAGAAAGAAAAAAATAAAAAACGAAAACTTCGTGTTCCAACAAAAAACACTTCAACAGACTGTGCTCCAAAGAAGCGGTGAGTATTTTTTACTCTTTTGACCCTAGGGGCTTGAGATATTTCTAAGTACGAATTCTTAAGAAAGAATACTTAATTACGACTATGAGATGTTGACTAGAAGAATATAGAAAGATTTTAGATGTACAGATTCCACATATTCAAAAGTTTGTTGATTTATCTGATTTTGTTTTCCAAGTTATGCTTACTTTATTCTAGTGGTCGACCAACGAAAATCACACAGCAACAAATGCTTCATAATATTGATCAACTTTCAGCAATCGGTCAATGGGACAATCCAGATCTCCAATCTGAATCGACACATTTTAATCAAAATTTAACTCTCAATCAATATGAAAATAGTTATTCACACATGCCATCGGATCAATCACATTATGCTTCGACTTATCTTACACAACAACCAGCACAAATGAAGCCAACTTGTTATCGCTGCAATATTCTTCTCTATGGAAACTTTACTAACTGTATAACTTGTGGTCGACCTTGTTGTCAAGTATGCGTACAAACACATTTCTTCTCTCATCCTGTTACTTGTGAATATTGTATCATGCAAAAAGCTCTTACTGTAACTAAGAATTTTTAAAACAAAACCTATTTATTGTTTTTTTTTCTGCTAGACAGTAGTATTGGTATTATTTATTTATGTAATCTTATTTATTAAAAATAATAAAATTATTCACGCTTACTCATAGAATCAGATCTTTATATTCTCTCTCTGTAATTCAGTCAAAACATCAACTGAACAAGGAGTATATTTGAAATACTTAGTTTTCTAGAAGTATTTGCAATGTTATTTCTGTTATGTTGCTCACT